TAGTGAGAAACAAAAAGGCAAACATTAAAACAACATCTTTCCTTCCCCCTCTCCCAGACTCAACTTCGCTCCTTCACTCCTGACTCCTCCAGTGGTGCAGGGGGCATAGGGGGCTATGGTCAGCCCAGAACAGTTCCTTTCTGCTGTTCCTTCCTCTTCACACTTTTCCCCTGCATTTGCATGGGCTCTCCATGGATCTCAGTTCTCATCAAGAAATATCCTTCCGCTCCAGTGTGGAGTCCTCCAAGGGCTACGGTGAGAATACCTGCTCTCCTGTGGAGCACCTTCTCCTCCTTTCTCTGGCCTTGGTGTTCCCTCTGTTATTTTCACTCTTTTTTTCCCCTCCTTCTCTGCAGCTCCCCTACTACCAAAATCTCACCATCTACAACCAATACAGATGATAATGCTGGTCACAGTAATGAAGAAGGTACCAGAATATCCTCAAAAGCCTGTCTTTTTCCCTTAAGGCCAAGTGACTACAACCCAGAATCTGTCTCACGAGCCACTGTGAAAAAATGGGAGTAAAACCCACTAGATTTTAACGTGTAATTCTCTCATAATCTAAACACAGATAAAAATCACATAGATTCTCAGTTAAAAATTCTTACAAAAGCAAATGCCATGCTAATAAAAATTTAATTTCCATGATCATTTTTCACATAGTCTGGATAAAAAAGAAAAATGTCATGTATTGCCTATTGAGAGCCATTGCTGAATTCTTCTCAACTTTTAGAGTTATTTAAATCAAAGGATTTTTCTGTTTTCCCTTGAAAAGCACTGGTTTAGGCAAACACTCTCAGTAGCTGATCAGTAGCTGATCTAGTAGTGTAATGCTCCCTACAGAAAGGATTGTCTGAGTACATAAAAGACTGAGGATCTGTCGGTCCCTAATCAAATATACTGCTTTTGTACACTAATTTAATCTCCAGGGGATATCCAGAAATGTGAGTTTTTTAACAGCATTCCTGAAAAACACCAATACTATTTTGTAAAATGAAGTTGTGCCTGCTGTTACTCCACAATACGTCCCTCCATTCTCCATTGCTGCATTCAGACAGTGTATCTTCATTCTTAGCCTCTCCAACAAGTCCTTCAGAAAATACGCAAGATCTAACTTTATTCTTATACTGGCACTACATAAAGTGACCTTACCTTTCAGGTTACAGGCCTGTTTTTTTCATATGATGCTCTGGCATCCTGAAATGTCTTGGCTTTTCATTTCATCAGTCAAACCGTTTGGTTTTTTTCTTGGTATTTGTTGAATGAGTGATATTGTAATGAGTAAAACTGGCTCTTTGATTTCCAGACCAGGGGAATGAAAGTTCAGTAGGATATGCCCTTTATAGAGAAAAGTAAAATTACTATGTAGGCTATCAAATCCGATCTTGTATTCAGCAATACATGAATGCGTGATCGGTTTCTCACAGCAAGTTCACTGAGATACTAAGTTAGCTTTGGAAGAAAAGGGAGGAAGAGAGTATTCTTCCAGAAGGAAAAAGTATTTGTGGTTCTCAAGAAAGCTGCTTGCAGCATTGACTCTACCACACTTTTCTTGAAATTGTGCTTTTTGAAGACTATTTCTTAACCCTAGAAACTCTCACTTCACAAGTTACAGTTCTAGGATCTTGTAAGTAGTGCCTCTTTCATCCCCCATCATTTTACAGGTTAGTTTTACTTGTGTGAATTCTGTTTGCTGCAGTGGAATGGCTCCTGCTTTACGCTGAGTTAGAGCAGAACAACTTTCATATGCTTTTCCTTTAAAAGTTCAGCTTTGGGAAGTCAGAATAATGTACTGAAGCTACTCAGTTATTACAAGATTCTTCCTTGTAAAGTTTGCTTCCCCATATAATCATGTCCTTAGCGGAGGCATCCTTGACAGGGCTGACCTCTCACTTTAAACTAAGATCGCTGTTACCTGCTGTTATGGCTGGTGTTTTGAGTGGGAGCAGAAATTTGGGCACTGGAATTGACAGCTCTAAAGGTCTCAGCCTTCCAAATTAAATCTTTATTTAAATACAGAAACAAAATGGGAAGAGCCCTTTGTGGGATCTTGCATAAAATATTTCTAATATTTGCAGTAAGTGTTCTCAGGGATCCAACCTGCACTGAGAAACGGCATAAACCTCTCAAGTCAGAGATTTTGTTTTTAAAATAAAGGCAAGATATAATGTGTTAGAAGTTACCTTGGTGTCCAGACATAATGAAATGAGGTGTATTTCTCTGTCCCCAATTTGCACGCAATATAAAAGGGGTCAGTTTAACAGAGTGTAACTTGCAGTCAACAGCTTCCCAAAGCACTCAAAGAAAAATGCATCTTCTCATTTTTAATCAGACTTATGAATAGATAGGGATGTTTTTATATGCACTTGGAAGTCTCTTACCCTGCGAGTTGGCCCATTCATTATGATTTTTCCTGGAACATGGTACTACCCAGGATACCTATGCATATCATAGCCTCTGCCATCATTTTTAATAAGTAGCTTATCTCTGGGATGCAACTAAAAGCAATCCTGAGTGTCTCCAGGGTTTGTTGTAATTAAATTTTATTGTTGTATTTGAAAATGTATAGTTTCTAAAAAGTGGAAAAGAGATTCTAGGAGGTGGTAGTCTGATTTTTAGAAGGTTTTAACCCTTTTTAGTTTCCAGATGCACAAGCTTACTTATGCTCCCCAACTAACTTCCTATATGCAACTGAAGCCATAAACTATAGCAGCTAGTGTAGTTTATTAGCTGATGTCAGGTAACCATGCAAAGATTATCATTTATACCGGCAGTCAGATGCTGTAGGATCATAGGCACAGTAATTTGTGGGTGCCTAATAAGATTGCAGAAGGCATTTTCTGAAAGTCTTACACTTTTGCTGCTGCCCCTTTCTTCTCCAAGTATTTACAGCTACAAGGGAATTACTCCAAGTCCCAGTGCTGCCCATGAAGTGCAGGGTTTACCAGCTTCTGATCTGGACAATAAAGAAATGTCACTGTTTTGAGCAGAAAACTGACAAGCACATCTGTTCTGTTATCTGGCAGTATACTGCCGTGCTCAGGCACCACCACCCAAGTCGCTGAGGAGTGCATGAAACTACATTTGGGCTCACACCTTGTGCAGTCAGTGGAATTCCTTGCACTCTGCATTGAAGGACTGAGCTTTGCCTTGGTCATTGTGCCCTTCTCCGCTCTCTTCACAGCTCATTCAGACTGCTAATCAAGCAGTCATTGCAGTTTTCCCCTTTGTTTTTTATTCCTGCTTGGTTTTCTTGCCATGGGATGCTGCGGACTGATTTTGGAGATTCACACAACAATTTTTTCCAAATCAAAATATTTCCTCCAACAATGTCATCTTTTCTGTCCAGCATTGCTACTAATCTTTATTTAGTTATTTACTTTACAATTTCTAGAGGGGTTGGATGTGCCCAAGGCACCCCTTTAGGCAACACTTTATATCAAGGTTCCATTTATAAATACTTCATGAAGGGCTAATGAATGATTAATAGATGTTTTAATGTATGGCCAATCAATTGTTGCAGATTTCACAACGTCCAACAGACAAGTAGGTTTCTTATAAGCATAGATTATAACCATATCTGACATCTTCTACTGATGGGCTTCTGAACATCTATAACATACACACTACTCATATCTGTAACATGCTTAAAACATCTACTAATCACTGATTAATTTTTTATAACCTGTTTTGAAGCAGAGCCTGTCTGTGGAGTACATCCCTTACCGGTGTCTGTGACTCTCCATTTCTATAGGATTGATAATTTACCCGTCATCTAAGGACTTAGAACTCCTACTAATTTCAGCTCAAACATGAAGCGTTTCTGAGTTAGCTTCAGCATTTTCACCTCAGCCTAAGAAAAAATGTCTTTGCTGTCCCCAGACTTTTTCCCCCTCAAACTTCTGTCTACTTTACCCTGCTAACGTGCATTTTGCAAGCTGAGCTAAAAAGCAATGTTTCTTAGGGGGCAAACCCACTCTAAAATACATTTTCAGCCTCTTGAACTCTGTTTGTTTGATTGTTCTCAGGACAGCCATCCCAGTGATGATGGTTCCCAGTGTTTTTTAATTATTTTTTTTTTCTGTCATACCTGTGTGCTTGGTTCAGAGTTTGTCCATTCTCAAAAAAGGATGAGAAAATATAAACTTCACAATAATCCAGTGGACAAGCCATCTTCCACAAGACATTTGATTCTGACAGAGGAACGCACATTTTGCATGTTTGATAAACCTAAGTGTTGATAGGGGTGTTCCTCTGTGGGATTCCAATGGTCTCCTAAGGTGAAAGCCGCGGGGGTGATCTGTGCTTTATATGGAGCACTCGGGTAATCTGACTGAAGTGGGCAGTACAACTCACTTCCTGAAAATGTCTGAGTCCTGCAGTTAATCATTTGCAGTTGAGAAGCAGTAAGTTGCTTAGTATCAGATTTTGCAAATGAATTTTGAATTTTTAGTTGATTTCTACTGAACTTATTCAAAGAGTTGAGGCTTCTGCTGTGATTTATCTAGATGTTGAGACCAATTCTTTACTGATGCAAATTAAACGGATCTGCAGGTTTTTCTCATTTCTGGGGTCATTAGTAAAATAGCCTCTGTTCTGAATATCCCCAAGTAAATATCCCACTCCCATTCAAATCAAATACTAATCTTTCACTGATTGCTGTTTACAGCAGGGTTAGGCTGCTACACCTGCAGCATTAACACATTGAACCTAAAGAAATACCTCAAGCATAACTCAAAAAAAAAGAAAGAGAGGAAAGGGTAAAAAAAGAGAGTTTTATTCTTCAATATTAACATCGAATTTCCTCTGGCTTTTTTAAAACCATTCATTGTCAAAGACACCAAAGCCTCAGAAATAAGAGCCTCTCAAAACTACTCAAGCTCTTGGAGTAGACAGTTTTTTACCCACGTTAGCACAATCACTTTTATGTTATCCAGTTAACACTCTGTGTTTCTGTGTTTATCGGGGGTTTTACCATGATCTTTTCTTTCTTTTTTCAGCTGGTTAATAATCCGCTAGCAAGTCAAGCAGCAGCGGCTGCAGCAGCAGCAGCCATGGGCTCAATAGCAAGCTCCCAGGCCTTTGGCAGTGCCCTCTCCAGTCTTCAGGGGGTCACAGGTCAACTCGTCACTAATGCACAAGGACAGGTGAGTAGAAGATGGAGCAAACAGTGAATTCTGATGGCAGGCTGATCTTGGGACAAAAATGAGTTCCGCTTGTATGACAGCAATTTAAAAGTCCACATATTGAAGATAAATAAATATTGATTTGCCAGACAAGGTAAGAAATGGAAAGTCTGAGAACTGGGAGGACGTTAGGAGCTGTTAGAAAGTGTTTTCAACCCAGAAAAGGCTTAGGGTGTGTTTTATTTTAATTCAACCTTTTGAAAAGATCACAATACTGCAATAATATGGTATTTTAAAAGTCCAGCAACCCTGTGATTCTTAAGAAACATACCAGTTGTCTTCTTCCACTTACATATGCCTAATAACAGACAACTATATTAAAGTGCTACTATACTATTAAGACTACGCTTTTTTGCAAATTGTAGCATTTCTGTATTACTTCATTTCTAAAAAGGTATTAAAAGTCTTAAGTAAAGGAACACAACTTAAATTGTAATGAAGTATCTGGGATGGATTTAACTGGGTTACTCATTTGCTGATAACAAAGTTAAGCAATTTGCAATGAATCTGCCAGTCTGTAATGCAAATTTGGGAGAAACTTTTGCTTTAAAGAAAATTTTCCAAACAGAAACTTGAACAGTGTTTATGGTGTGTCTAAGAGAGAGATTGTGTGTTATCTGCATTTGGGAGCTGTTTATTTGTTGTAAACTATTTCAGTTTCAGTCTTAATATGATGCAGAAAGATATGCATCTGAATCCATGTATATATAAATAGTTCCATTGATGCAGCATGCTTAAGTAGCTTTCAGATTGCGGCCACTGTCATTCTTTATTGCATTTACTAGGACTAAAATTAACACAACTACTTGTTTCACATAAAGTCACTGTAACAAATCTGTCAATATAACTTATGACCGGACCTGGTAACTGAGTAATTTGAATGTCATTATTCTAAATGCTACAAATTGGGTGTACGGTGAGATCCACAGTGCTTATGTGGATGGGAGGCCCTGGTAAACATTTATTGAAATGATGCAGCTTGCGTAATATGAGAATCTAAAGTTTAGTTTCTACTCTTACTGTTTACTATGCAGAAAAAAAACAAACATGAAGAGCAGGTTTTTTCCTGGTAATTTTCTATAACCACATTATTTAATTGGAACAGGGGTGACATCTTTTATTTTGGCCCATTAAAAAATAAAAGACAACACTTTATAGAAGCCCCCCCCCCTTTTTTTTTAACATAACACATAAAAAAAGATGCATCCTGAGCTTCACTATCACCATCCAAGTCCCAGAAAAAAAATGCTGACCTTGTTATATTTACTGGGTGGGTGCAGAATTGTTCCATCACTACCCCGAGGGTTGAACGATGGAGCTTGTCAAAGTGAGGCCTTATCTAATGAATCATCTTATCGCAGGTGCACACCACACATATTAAAGGAGGATTGTATGAACAATGTGCCCTCTACAATAACCTTTCAATGTCTACTTTAACCCTTGTTTCAATCCCTTTTCATCAAAGGATCATTTTATGCAGCCAGCTTTAAATGGAGGCTCTCAAAAGCCTATTAAGATTTCTGGAGGGATGGGGTATTGGTTTGGAAGAAAAGTTGGTTATAATACCTATAACTCATAGTCAGATCAGCTCCAACCTAGAAGCCTGCTCGTTTCTATCTGTGCTCCAGAAATGGTTCACAATCGCCACTCACGTGAGGCACTTGGCACCAAAGATGTTCGTTGTAAGAGCTGAAGATACAAACCCAGACTAGTTTTACAATAGTTGTCCCTTTCCATGTTCTCCACAGAAAACATAAGCAAAGTGTGGCCATTCATTGTATGTTTAAAAAAAATACTACTGTGAAGATATCACTGAATGAAACTATAGATTCCCTCAGGCTGAATCTTGTTTATTCCACACATAATGTAAAGTCCAATAATTCCACAGGTTGCAGAGAAAGAGAAGAGAAAGGAAGAATCTTCTCTATTGTTGGATAAAATTACAGAATCTATCTGTTTGCCTAGCTCTTTTAAATAAGGGCTGTCTTTTTATTACTTGTTTTTACAAACGTTCCTTGGTTTATAATCAGTACTGCAGACCTCGCCACAATATAGATAAATATTGATAATAAGTGTGATATAACACCCGTTTTTATAATTTTCAGCAAAAACCCATATTGCTTAGAGCACACTTCTGAAGCTATCTGTCTACAAAACAGGAATATTCAGTGTAATTATACTACATTCCAGAAATTAAATTACATTCCCTGCAAATTTATAAAATTATACCAACTAAACAAGAACTGAAAGGCATGTTTCTTCAAAATTGGGAGCGTAAGTGAATAGTAATTTGGGATACTCCATTTCTGAATGATCTGCTTGGACTCGTTAAGGAGCCAGATTTCCATCATATGTTAAGAATCTGCCCTTTGAAAATGGCCCCTTTCAAAGAATCACAAGTGTGACACCCAAAATTCACTCCTGCAAATATAAGGCTGGATGACTTACCAGACTGTTTGTATGTGCAATCTTTGTAATTATACGCTGCTTCTGTTATAGAAATTCAGGGCTTGTAAATGTCCATCTGTCTGGCTAAATATATGGTGATCAGCAATGCCTGGAGACATTAAGCTATAGATCAAATCCAAGATCCTATGGCAAATTTAGGGAAATGGTCTTTTAAATGACATATGGCATGGCCTTAATTCTCAATAGCCTAGGAGTTCTTACAATCATAGTAACAAAATTATATATATTAAGTCATTTATATAGCATATTTGTTATTAATTTAATTATTTAATTCACAATTATGGTATGATAATTTTTGGTTTTGTTTTGGTTTTTTTTTGCTTTGGATGGCAATATGAACTGTGATACCACAGCTCCCCAAGGCCACTGTAGCAAAGAGATCTAATCCATTGGAATAATATGGTTAGATCACCTGATTAATCTGATATAGTACAGGTAGAGGACTCTAAATCAAATTTTCATTTTCAGAGGCATATTATGAAGAGCTATTGGCCCATGTAATGCTGCTTACATTCTGTTTGCTCTCAGCACTTTCCAGGAAGCGTTTGCAGGACTGGGCTTTCATATCTTAAATTCAAAGGCCAGGGTAGCAGAATTGCTAGATTCCACCCTGTCAGTAGATCATAGAATCACAGAATTGTTTAGGTTGGAAAAGACCTTTAAGATCATCAAGTCCCACCGTAAACCTAGCACTGCCAAGTCCACCACTAAACCATGTCCCTAAGCACCACATCTACCCATCTTTTAAATACCTCCAGGGATGGAGACTCAAGCACTTCCCTGGGAAGCCTGTTCCAGTGCTTGACAACCCTGTTGGTGAAGAAATTTTTCCTAATATCCAACCTAAATCTCCCCTGGCGCAACTTGAGGCCATTTCCTCTCATCCTATCGCTTGTTACTAGGGAGAAGAGACCAACCCCCACCTCTCTACAACGTCCTTTCAGGTAGTTGTAGAGAGTGATAAGGTCTCCCCTCAGCCTCCTTTTCTCCAGGCTAAACAGCCCCAGCTCCCTCAGCTGCTCCTCATAAGACTTGTGCTCTAGACCCTTCACCAGCTTTGTTGCCCTTCTTTGGACACGCTCCAGCACCTCGATGTCCTTGTCATGAGGGGCCCAAAACTGAACACAGTACTCGAGGTGTGGCCTCACCAGTGCCGAGTACAGGGGGACGATGACTTCCCTGGTCCTCCTGGCCACACTATTCCTGATACAAGCCAGGATGCCATTGGCCCTCTTGGCCACCTGGGCACACTGCTGGCTCATGTTCAGGCGGCTGTCAGCCAGCACCCCCAGGTCCTTTTCTGCCAGGCAGCTCTGCAGCCACTCCTCCCCCAGCCTGTAGCGTTGCATGGGATTGTTGTGACCCAAGTGCAGGACCCAGCACTGAGCCTTGTTGAACCTCATACAGCTGGCCCCAGCCCATCGATCCAGCCTGTCCAGATCCCTCTGTAGAGCCTTCCTACCCTCCAGCAGATCAACACTCCTGCCCTGAAATCAGATACGCTGATTTCAAAGAGAAGCTGTCTACCCACTTGGTTTCAGCCTGCCCTTATAGTAGGACCCTAGTGCCATTGCTGCACTTGGATTCTTCAGAGATATAACAACCAGACGTTTCTCTTTTTCGCTCTGTTATTGCAAATGAAAGAAAATATTACTACTTTTGAGTGGGTTTTACTATGTCTGTTAAGTACATGAAACGTGTATTTTGGCTGTTTTCTTAATCTTTGTAAGGAGATGAACCACAGAAATACGGAAGCAAGATTGACGCTTCTCGTTTCCGTAAGTGCTATCTACAAGCCATCTTCCTACTTGGCTAAAACATAGTGCTTCGTTGTCATCAGTTGCATTTTTGTATGTCCCTTGACTTCAACAGGATCAAATACATTTTAACTATGGGTGCTGAGTAAGTTTAGTTTGTTTTTTGGAAAGATGGGAGTTGTCTAATAGGAGAAAAATACATCCTAATTCAGCAACTGCAAAATAACATTTTACCATAAAGAGTAAAAGAGTAGCACGATAAGAGTCGGGATTATGAACTGTCTTGTGGTTAAAGACAGTAATACATTCTATTTCCTGGTAGGTTAATACAAAAACCTAAGTAAGTGTGGTGTAATTGTACAGTACATACTTTAACTGAACAGTGAATTTAACTGGAATCAGTATAATCTAAGAATGCCCTTGGAGGAACTTGTGCTTCATTGTGCCCATGCCTTGCTCTTTAGATGTGAAAACCTTCTGTATATGAAAGACCTTGAGTACAGCTCCACCCTGTCAATTAACAAAAAATAACTAATTTTTGAGAGTTGTAGTCCACAAGTAGCTCAGGAAACTAAACAGAGAGAGAGGCATTGTTGATGCGATTAGATAATAGGAGTACTTTGGTTCTCATTATTCTGATGAGAGGGTACACGTTGGCTCTTTAAGCTTCTTGATGGTAAATGGTGCTAATGAGGCCTGATGGATTCCCTGCTCCTAACAAGCCTCTCAGCAGTG